ATATACATCAGTCTTTTCCTCTTATCCCAAACTTCCCACAACACATATATGAAAATAATCTTCAGAGAACAGAGATTTTATAATTTTGTGGCCTTGGTCAAAATCTTCAATGACTATGTATTTATCTTCGCAAGATCATCTTGATTATGACTATACTATAGCCATTATTCAGTAGAGTTGGTGAAAATTAGTTTAATGGAAATTCTTTAATTTCTGTGTTGACATTTCCTCACCAGTCAATTACCCTCTTTGAGTATCTTAGAAAGTCTTCCTGTGGTGTGGAGGGGAGATCTTCCCTGTTAGGGATCCAACTCTTTTACATAATGCTAACTACTCATCCTCCGTCAGGTCCTTCAAAATCAAATCCCACCTTTTATACTTCATACCCCAATAATCCACTTCTCAAACTGGTTCATTTCTCTCCAAACATTTCTAGTCCTTTCTTACTTCTGTATTTCTTTTTTTTTTCCTATGCCATTCATTTTGCCTGAAATAGCTTACCTTCTTATCTTTAGCTAATCAAACCCTAGCCCATCTTCTAAATCCAGCCCATATCCAGTCTCCATGGAGCTGACCAGACCAATCTCTGCCACTTTCCTCTGACCTCACTGCCGTGCCAGTATCACAATCCTTGGTGTCCTGCTCCTTTTGCTGTTATTTTTTTTTTACTTTGTGTTACTTATTTCATAACTTCATTTTTCATTTTTCCCCAAATGAATGATAAGCTCTTTGAAACCAGGAGCCACATGTTAGAACTGAGCATAATCTTTTGCACGTAGTTGATATTTAAATATTTGTTGGTTGTCTAGAATACATGAGGCACCGTGATAGAAAATTTTAAATTCCTACTTAAGCATGAATAGCAGTTAGCACAATCTGACTGACTTCTTTAAATATTAAAACCGAACACACTTCTGAAAACTTGAATGAATTAAACTATTGGCACAACTTTTTCCCCTGTAGAAGGCTAACGCCATTGTGAAAAACATTTTGAATAGCAACAGAATTACACAAATAAATTATCTCAGAATTTAAGCAGGTACTTATTACAACCAGCTATATTAAATAATAATAGTTTGTACTTTAGTCAACAACTTATTTAAGAAATTATTCAGTAAGTCTCTAATTTGTACAAGGAACCACACTAAGATCTGCTGGGAGAGGAGATGAAAAAAAAGACTGGCCAAGTCCTAAACACTCAACTCTTTAATGGAGGAGACACACTGAAAAACTTTACAAAACAAAAGTAGTCAATACAATACAGCTAACCTACTGAGTACTGTGTGTGATTTATTTCAATTGGTAGGGCTCAAGAACCATCTGCTTAAAAAAAAGGTGTGTGTGAGGAGACAGAGAACATTGGAAAGAGGCTCGAAAGATATTTGGGACTTTGTAGACCAAGATGGTAGAAGGGGGTTCTGAGGTATAAGACGAGAAAGAACAAAAGGTATAGACATGAAAATATACCTTCATCCCATTTTAGCTCCTCTCAGTAGATGATCTAACTTGCTACTTCATGTGAAAAATAAAACGCCATTCCTCTCTTACATCTTAAAACTCTTGTCTTTCCCTCTATCTCAAAAGTTTCCCCATTCTTGAACCCACATACACTCCTGGTAGGAATGCAAACTGGTGCAGCCACTAGGGAAAACAATATGGAGATTCCTCAAAAGACTAAAATAGAACTACCATATGACCCAACTATCCCACTACTGGGTATCTACCCAAACAACTTGAAATCAACAATCCAAAGTAATATATGCACCCCTAGGTTCATTGTAGCACTATTCACAAGAGCCAAGACATGAAAACAATCCAAGTGCCCATCAACTGATGAATGGATAAAGAAGATGTGGTGTATATATATACACACACACACACACACACAATGGAATACTACTCAGCCATAAAAAAAGATAAAAATCATCCCATTTGCAACAACATGGATGGACCTGGAGGGAATTATGCTAAGTGAAATAAACCAGACTGAGAAAGACAAACACCAGACGATTTCTCTCATATGTGGAATATAAACAAACACATGGACAAAGAAAACAGTTCAGTGGTTACCCAGGGAAGCGGGCTGAGGGGTGGGCACAGGGGGTGAAGGGGAGCACTTACGTGGTGACAGACAAGAAATAATGTACAACTGAAATTGCACAATGATGTAAACTATTATGAACTCAAATAAAAAAAAAGTTTCCCCATTTTTCCCATAGCTAAATTCTCCAAATTGTTCTCAGCCCTCTTGCCGCTTGTCTACTATTACATCTTGTTTCAGTGCTCACCCTTTCTTTCCTTCCCTTAGGCCAAATTGTTGAAAGAATGGTCTATATTTGTTATCTCTGCTTCATCTCTAATTCACTACTCAGTTACATAAGGGTAACTGCCTCTTAAATCTTTTTTATTCAGTAAAATAAAGTAAAATAAGGATATACTTTCTGATTTCATCCTTTCTTTGTTTTAAATAAGTTAACACGTATTTCTTTTTAAAATTTATTTGCTATATTCAGGGAACAGAGAATGTATAGTCTCTGAATAGGATTTCTCACGTCCAGAAAGTAAACTATTAAACAGCTGAGACTTTAAAGTATTCTCAGTAAAGAGCCTGCTATTGTAGTGATCGATGAGAATTCTGAACCTTAAACATGCTGTTCTCCCAATGCATCTTCCCTAACTCAGAGCTCTTTATAATTCTTCAGATAAGAATAGGTAGGGGACACAATTCGTTTTCTTCAGCAACAAAAAAAGAGGAACTTTTAAGGAAATTATTTCATACAAGCCAGGTCCTTAATCTTTTTTAGAAGATCAAGGTAAGGTAAGGTTTGACATCTCCACACTGTAATGACACACGTAGAGAAGTATCTCAGTCCAGCCCCTGATTTATGTTCTGGTTCTCTGGCAGTTTCATTTACTAGAGAAATAACGGCTAAGATAGTTTCTCCTCTTATATACAATAAATAGCCAAAACTCTTCACAACTTACTTTGCTCACCTTTCTTGTCTTCAAAGTCAAATTTATCAGCATCTATTAACCACCTACGTTGATTTCAGAAATGCAAAGAATCACCCATATTTTATATACATATAAGTCTGTCCATGAACAGGGAGTATTATACATACTTTTCCATGAACTATTGGGTAATATATGGATCTCAGCTCATTTTTCAGATTTCCTTTGTAACGAAGACTTCAGTTCACTGAACAATCCAATTATTTCCCTTTATTTTTCAAAAATAAATTTATCCCCCCCCACACACCCCTTTCTTAAAACAGCTTTCCTTAAAGTAGACAAAGATCTATATCATAAACCTCTCTTTCGTCCTCCTAAGGAAAAGAGTTTACAGACTTAGCGAATGCATTGGATATTATAGAAACTCCATAAATATTTGTCAACAGGCTGATTTATACCGTCATGCGCCATATAACAATGATTCGGTCAATGACCACATATACAACAGTAGTCCCATAAGATTGGTACCATGTAGCATAGGCGTGTAGTAGGCTATACCATCTAGATTTGTGTAAGTACTCCATGATGTTCACACAATGATGAAATCATCTAACAATGCATTTCTCAGAATGTATCCACATCATTAAGCGATGTATGACTATATTTAACAATATTGTTAAAATTTCCATAAAGGTCACCAAATGTTTTGATTAAAGATCAAATGGAAAATTTCAGGCCCACTTCTAACATTTGCAGGGGTTAGGTGAAGACTACAAATGGAGACCCACATTCCACATGTCTAAATATTTAAAAGTTATATATCAAGTTAAACTATTAAATAAAATAGGGTCTCTTTCTCCAGTCTTGACAAATATACCTTCAACCACCTGGAGGAACAGGTATCAACTTAGAATGCTTAGACTCCTTGAAGTTCCACACCATAGTGTGGTGACATGGGAGGGCCAGCCCATACCCTTCTCATCCTATTCGCCCGTTGATGATTGACACCTTGAGAGGCCTTGTGCACCTCAAACCACTGCACCCTAGCCACCCCTCAGGCCTAAGGGTACACTGACAGGTTTTATCCTCCTCAAGACAGACTCAGGGAAAAGGCCCATGCAGGCCACGGAAGCAGGCTCTAAGCTGTTTGGGGGCAGGAAATTCCAGAGCATGGAAGTGGGCAAAGCGAGGGCTTAGGCGAGGCCCACCCGTTGACCCTCAGATCCTTCATCCTGTGGAGAAGTATGGCCAGAGCAGAGTTCTCTAATTCACAGCTCCCAAAACAGGGTCTCTCTTGCCTGGGACAAAGGCAATACCGGAGAATTTACCAAAATGGAGAATTTGCCAGATCAGTCTTGTTACTAGTTAGTATACCAGTTGAAAATAAATATGTAAAAAGATCATTAAGTAAGTAGTAAAAGCTGAAATTCCAATCTCTAATCACTTCAGTTCCCTCAAGATCTATAATCAAAGGGTCTAATATTTATCTGGATCTACCCTACAGACTAAATCTAGATTCTGTGCTCTCTTTAAAATTCATACACATTTACAGAATTCTATTCATACCAGAGGGAGTTAAGAAGACAACGAGGAGGAGAAGAGAGAGGGGAAGGGGGAGAACACCGAGTATCAAAGACAAGATGAGACATGCAGGTCTAAACGAAGACATTTCCCTTGTGTCTGTCACTTGTGTGGGGAAGCATATGACATCATGATTAGCCATCTGATCAAAGCTGCTAGACTCACAGCTTGCTCTCACTAATGCACAGAATCATGCAGTTCACTCATTGACCTCATAATGCCCCTATTCTAGCCACTGGGTTACCTGGTAAGTCAAGCTGAATCTTGTCAGCATTTAAGTTGAGACTTATGACAGCTCTCCCTACACCTCACCATAATTTGCTGGACTGCAGTTTCCACTTTACTAGCAAGGAAATCAATTTGTTAATTTGAAAAAAACTAATAAATAATTCTTATCACAATACATATACACATACTCCACAGGAAGGGAAGTATTTCAACTGGAAATCTTATTTATGTGTACTTACTGAGATTGTACCATTGTCTAGACCTATGGACAGTCTTCTTGTTTCCGGGTTAAAAGACATGCATGAACATGGAGCTGAAAGAAATGAACATGTTGATGAAATTAACAAAACGATGATTCTCATCGATTCAGGAGTGACTAACTAAAAGTGTGTGACTATTTTTTTCCCACTATTTCCTGCAAAACAGTGCATTTAACTCCCACTCACCAAAAAATAAAAACAGTAATTTTATAACCAACCCCTAGTTCTTCAGTTATCCTTTTAATGAATATAACAAATAAGATATTCTCAAACTGGACAAGTTCCAACAGACTTGGTCTCAGCTGTTCTGTCAATATCAAGCCTAAATTTGCCTGACTAATTAACAATATTTTGTGCTGTGTAATCCCTTCATCACCAATCTCTTCCACTCAAACTCCATCTTTAGTAGAAATGATCTATCCTTTCCGAACTAGGGAAACAAAAGATCTTACTACCCCTCCTCCCTTCCCACATACACATACACACACTAGTATAGAAATCTGTTTTTTGATTCAGAATTGATTTCGGGCATGTAGACTGTGAGAAGTCTTGTATTCTCAGCATTCAAGAGATATGCTGGAGGTTGTTGAATGAAAAAAGACTGAGGATTTGTCTCAATCTGAAGAGAACCAACTTGACACAGGGCCAGGCTCTACTGGAAAGAAATCATCAGGTGAGTCAGTTCACCCAGTCCTGGATGGGGCCTCCCTGTCTGCAAGAACCTGAGCCTGAGTTCACCTGTGACTGAGTAAATTTAGCATGCTTGGAAGCCACCTGTGGCCAAGAAGTGCTTGCTAAACAGTCACCTTCCGGGTCCCTGCCTTCTCTATGATTGCTTGTAAGAATAGGGGCCTTTTGACAATTTACCCTATGCTGAAATAGTCTTTCTACAGAGGCCAACACAATTTTTAAATTTCTGCCCCAGCTTCACAGTAGCCCTGTGGATCATGAACTACCCACCATCATAATCACAATCAGTATCAAGTATTTTTATTCTTACGTTTCAGTTATGATTAGATGTCTTACCCAAGGTCACACAGGAAAAAAAAGTTAGAGAAGGTTCAAAGACATAATTCAAATACAGTCCTATTTTCAAACAACCAACTTAGATTATCTTTAAACTATCAAAGAACTTGAAGTTCTACAAACAGAATCATTGCATAAACACATCATTTAGTAACATTTTTTCATTTTCTATAAAAGGGCCCTGAACAACAACAAAAAAAGACCTTCTGAACTGCATGAAGTATTTCCTTTTTTCTAACATTCAATCATGATATGATCAGAAAATGGACTCATACGAAAAACAATTTTCCCCCAAAACTTCCACCAGTATGCCAGAATATCTTCTCTTGGTTTGGCCACAAAATTAAGCTAGATTGCCATAAGTACACTGATGAAAAAAGCAGTCAAATGACATCTAATGCACTGCCCTAAGAAAGTCAGTCTTACTCACCCTTGGTCTACACTATGTTGACACAATTTCTACACAGATGCTAAGATGCCAGGTCTCATAATCCCTTAACATGTGTGCAGAATTAAAATCTAATGATTTCATGGAAAATTATCATGTGAGCTGAAAAAAGCAAAAGAAAAAATACATTGTGATTACAACCACATAAAGTAGATACACACATAAAAATATATATGGAAAAACTAAACAGTTCTTGTGTTCAACTAACAAGATTATTTCTATAACACTGTCTTTACTCTTATTATTTTGCTATTCTTGTTAAAAAGTTTAAATAGCTAATGATTTAAGATAAAAGTCTGAGCATATGAAAACTCGAGTGCAGCGCAAAAGGCTAGAGACTAGTCAAGAATACCCTTATCACTTAGCTGCCTCCTGACCATATTAAAAGTATTTTCTGTGTGATTCCCTCCAAACTTCATATCTGGTTATGTAATAGTTAGAAAATCCACTGATCTTTGAATGTGATTTAAAAGACGTTTTTTACAATATTGCACAGGTTACCCTTCAATCTACATTGCTATTTCTTTTCTTTTTTTTTCTTTTTAGGAAGATTAGCCTTGAGCTAACATCTGCTGCCAATTCTTTTTTTTTTTTTTTTTTGCTGAGGAAGACTGGCCCTGAGCTAACATCTGTGCCCATCTTCCTCTACTTTATATGTGGGACGCCTGCCACAGCATGGCTTGACAAGTGGTGCCATGTGCATACCCAGGATCCGAACCGGCAAACCCCGGGCTACCAAAGCAGAACGTGCAAACTTAACCACTGCGCCACCAGGCTGGTCCCACATGGCTATTTCTTTATTCCTCACTTTTTCTCTCATTTACTAAATTTCCTATTATTCTTTCAATGAAAACTTAGAATGCTTACTATGTTCCAGGCATGTGATACAATGATATATAAAGTATTACAGCTGCCATTAATGAATTTATAGATTGTGACACCAACTATATATAGGAACTATAACACTTGTCCCCAGTGTCACCTCCTTATTTCATATCACTTTATGTTGATAGTAAGAATCACCACCAGAATTCAAAAGGAAAAGACCTTTCCTACAAAGGACCAGAAATTCTCTTGTTCTAGAACCACTATGGTTGAACCTAAGATGGTTCTAGACAGCGGAATGCCAGAGCTAGAGAGCATAATTAGCTCTTCAAAGAGGCATTATGGTAAAACCCTAAGCAAACCAGGAGGAGGGGGAAGACTTCTAGTAGGTGAGCCTTATGATGTTCCTCAAACCTGTTCCCAACTGTGACTCTCATAGGAATAGGCCCTGGGTTGGTTACCCATAGACCCTGCGGGGCCAAGGAGGCAGGGAGTGAATTGAAAAGAATATTAATGACCATCTTTGTTGTTACAGTAAATGTCTTTCCTTTTGAGGTTCGGGGGAAGTAGACAGATTGACACAGAGATTCTTCTAACCTTAACTCACCAGAAATTAACAAAAAAGCAACCTCTGAAAGCATAGTGCCATGGCCCATACAAAATGGGCTTCTATCCATGCAAGGAAATATCAAAGTGGCAAAACTGTTGGGGAAGGATAATAAGACAGTAAGTTAATAGTAATTCTGGCCAAATGGTAAAAGGAATCCTTTGGCAGGAAGAATAAAGGAGGAAACAAACAAAACATGATTTAAGAGAAATATGTGTAGCTGGGTTGCAAAAACGTGATGTTTCACAAGTAAGAATTCAGCTTTAAATGCTGTAAAACTAATAATTCACAAGTCAATAAAGAAATATTGGTCTCTCTGACAGCTGAAAGTTCAGGTTAGAGATGAAGCGGTTGAGAGACCATTCTATTCTTCCACCTTAAAACTACCTTCTCGAAAGGCTGCGTGAAGTGGCTGACCAGAACTATAAAATTACAACACAGCTCCCCTCGACTGGCTTCCTCTATCAAAACTGCATCCCTGATCTCTAGATGATATAAATACAGCAAGATACAAAACCTAAAGATATATTTATTCCCTTCACCTTTAACTCTTTCCCATGAGAAAGGATAACCACACCAAGTAAGCTTTGTGGGGTGAGCCCCGACTTGCCAAGGCCTCCCACATTATTACATTATACATAGTTTGCTTGAGACGGCTCCTACACAAACCCAATAAATGAAATTCAAGACCTTGTAAATGGTCTTGTTGATGTTATATCCTAGCTTTCTATTTTTTCTTCCCAACATTTTCATTAAAACCTGAAAAAAACCTGACCACAGTTTCTCAATAAAATAGTAAAAAAGTTCATTTTCCATACTATCTGATTAAAATTTTCCATCTCCCTTTTCTGTCTCAGACTCATGACAGTCAAAAGAAGTATATTTGGCAAAATTTTAGGAAGCAAGATAATGAAAGGCACAACTCAGAAAAGAAATTTGTGCTGGTCTATGGGTAATGGGAAATAATATTCTCTTACGTTAGTATCAGGACTTTAGACCTTGATGGCCTGTCAAAATTTTATTTTTAAAATTAAACACTTTCATACCACTGAGGTTTTGGTTTTTGTTTTAAATGAAATCTTTGTAGTTTCAGGCAAGCACTCACCTTAAAGTTTAGGAAAAACTAAAATAAAGAGAAGCCCCAGTCTGAGTGATTATATTAATGGCCATATAATTTGAAGGGGGAAAAGTTCAAGAGAGATGAGCCCCAAACAAAGGAACTCAAGAGACCAACCTCAACAGAGTCAATAATTAAGTGGATTAGAAGGAAACTGGCTACTTGTATTTCTAACACTTTTATCCCATAGGTATTCTTAAAAAAAATATTGCTCTTGCTTTTTAAAAAAATGTAGATGAGAGGAGGCATTCTCAAAATACTTCTATTTTGGGGAAAGTTTCCTTGTTTCTATTATCTACATCTATAACTCTTTCATTTTATGACTAGTTTATTTTCTGTTCTTTGCTGAATGGTTAAACTTTGCTCAAATAAACACCAGTTTCACTGAAGGTTAAGCTGTGGATTTCAATCACACTGACTGCTTTACAATGATAAAGGCATTATTTGGCAGGAGACACTAATCTTCATAAGATGTTCTGGTGGGAACTTTAAAACTAAATAAACAATGGTATTTCCATGAACCAAACTCCAGGTGTTAAAGGCATCCTGGTGAAGTTAAACGTAGGACCCCATGAAGAGGGCCTTGAACAGAGCCTTCAAGGAGCACTCCACCACCACAAGGCAAAGATTTAATTCATTTACTTCATGGACACTATTTTATTCAGCCCTATTTGTCACAAGATAATATTTATTAGGTTTACAATCTTTAACCCATGCTTTACTTTATTAAGAACACTTATATTTAGGACTTTAATTGCCTAACATTAAAAAGCATTTTTCATTTATTTAATGCATTCTACTAATCATTTTTTTTTTACTTCATCAACAAAACTACAATGAATTAGGAGTGGTCATTTTTGCTCCCAGACAACCTTTAAGTTACAACTACAAGTTTAACTAAGTATAATACATTTTAAAATACCCTGTCATATGAAAATCAAACAAGAGTATGCTAAGCAAATGCTGTAATTACTCAGATTAATTAGTATCTGTTATCTTTAGTTTAGATCATCTGTTTTCCTTCATTTCT